GAGTTGATTCATGAATTTGATAGATCGATTTATTTGGATGTAGATGCTTTACCTAAATCATACTAGTTATTTTATCTTCAAATCAAATTTAGCACAGTTTGGGGTGATCTCACTGTTGTAGGAAGATACGGATGTGAATGTAGATTCCTTGTATGAAAAATTTTGTGTGAATTGTCTTAGATTAACAGGATAAAATCAGGCAAAAGTCTTAAATAGGAGGTCAATTTACTTGAATAGGTGTGTGATAAGGGGTATTACACTAATCAAGACATATATTTTGAAATTTAAAATTTCTCTTTGAAGCCTTTATGACTTGGGTAATTAAGCCTGGAAGAATATCTTAAAACCTGATCCTAAGGTCATTTGACTTGAGATTCATTAGCCTAAAGCTCACAATAGGAGTCATTTATAATGCAATTAGAGATGAAGTTACCCTTGAAAAAAAGGGAAAAAAAAAATTCTCTTCAAAGCTTTTTTTCCTCGGGTTATTAAGCCTATAAAGGTGTTTAAATCACTGTTACCTTAAAGTCGTCTGACTTGAAAGCATCGGCCTAAAGCCTGCTACATGAGTCATCTAAAAAGCTTAAGGGCCCTGCCAAAAAAAAAAAAAAAAAAAGCATTGTGAAGTCCCAATGCTTTTTCGATGGAATTTGACTTTCGATGAAGAATAATTAGCCTAATTGAATCCTGCGGTCGAAGCAATCAAATAACTGGAGAATCCTTGTTCGCTGATGTGTTCACTTACAAATAGTGATGTCTACTTGAATTGGAGGGGTGAGGTTGGTGATAAAAAATTTAATCTTAAATCACATGCTGGAAAAAGAGTGAAAAGGAATAACTTTGGGGATGCATGAATCTTATAAGAGATGAAATGATATATTTGACCATAGAGGGCCAGGAATTGGAACAATTTGTGAAGTCATTATTGTCTACTTAGTTCTTTACACACACGCATATCGATTTTACATTGGAAAAGTGGATATTGGTTTGGTATTATGACTTTGAAGTGGTTTGTAGATTTAACATGGTGATTTCAATTCCTGAGATAAAAAGTTAGACTGTTATATATATATAAACACACAGAAAAGGGGAGAAGGCGACAGTTGCAGAAAAATTTGAGGAAGATTATACACGCAAACGGAGAGAGAAAAAAACATTGCTACTGGGAAATAAAAGGGTTCTTTGATATACATTATAAACACAAATTGGAGGCAGAAAACGTGGAAGCTGCCAGCTTTAATTGATTATATATACAAACCCACAGTTAGAGCAGCTTTTGGAAGAAAAATTGAAAGTGTGGGCGACTACAAGACAGAAGAAAGTTGAAAGACACGATTTGGCGACAATTGAGAAGAAAGCAGACAACACATATACAGAGAAAAACACAGAAAACGGCAACTGATTTTTGAGGAAAAGGACGGCAAATTTATTTTGAAAATTACTCATGTTCCGTCAATTACTCGGTGATGTTGTTCAAATTTTATTTGTTTAATTCCGACTATATATTAAGCTAAATTTTTTATTGTTAGGATGTGATAAACCATTATTATGAAATTTTTGGTTTAAATAATTAAATTTACGTTAATTTGTTTAATTGTTTGAAAGTTTATTATGATTTAATTTGCTTTCCAATTATTTGGTCAATAATTGAATTATTTGTGGATTTTATTGTCATAGAGAGAGATAATAAGATCATTACCATTTAGTAATAAACATTGTCAGGTTCGATAAAGGATAGAGATATACTTCTATGCTTCTAACTCATTTAATACATTTATCATATTAGCATCTTTCATCGAGAGATAGGAATGTCACATGAGAGGAATAAATTTGATAACTATCAAGAAAGGTTTTCAATTAAAATAGGAACATTGACCAATAAGCATGATTTCAAATTGTCATTTTAAATTGTTGAACTAAAAATGAATTAATAAGGGGGATTCTCATCTTAGCAATACTTCTTACAAATTTGATTAATTTTTACATTGCTTTTAAGTTAGTTAATAGATTTAATAATGTTAGGTACAACTCGATTTTACTATTCGATTAAGGGAATTGTTAGTTTTCATTTGATTAAACGCATAGTACTCGTGAGTTCGACACTCTACACATTACTATATTACTTGTTCACGATCCCATTCACTTGCGGGTAATCAGACAATCACTACATTCCTGATTACTATGACTATTTTGATTAATATTTTGCCTATTATGTGGTTTGTCGCTAACAAATAAGCTCTTAGAATTACTACCATGCTTTTTAGATTTAAGTTCTAACTCTTTGCTCCTTAAGAAATTGATGACAACATCAGGAGTTAGAGTGTCTCTATCATATTTGATGGCGAACCTTGCTATGTGTATATTAAGCTTTATATAATGGGTTACGTAATATCACATGTCACTCTATCATTTGTCAATTTAGAACAGAGTCAACTTTTTCATCCAAACTTTTCTCTTCATATCATTTTATGAAATTTCTTATATACCATTTTTATGTACAAGTAGTACGATCCTTAGATGACAGTCTTGGTATTTCTATATGTTTTAGGGATGGCATTAAAGAGCACAACTGCATTTGTACTCCAAAGACACCTTATCACCAGTATTAGTAATATCATGTACTAACTTATCGAAGGTATCTAAGTTATCATCTAATTCCCTAGAGGAACTTAAAACTAAAATATCCTTCCAAGATTAACAATTTGTGTGGTAAGGACTTAACTAAGCACAGTTCTTCCAATTCATTCTACAAAGCTTAGTGGTATCTAATTTTCCTACTTTTCTTAAAATTTGAAAAAAAAAAAAAAAAAAATGTAATATGATAGAAGTGTAGGCAATTTTATCAGCTTCATTTTTTGGTCAGTAATCATGATATCAGGAAATTCTTGAGTTATTGCTTGAGAAACCTTTTGTTGTAGAATAACCCCCTCTCATTTTTTGTTGCCAAATGGGAAAATCATCATTCCCACTGAAGATCCCAAGTTCAAAAATTGTTCCAACCATTTTTGAAAAAAAATTTAAAAACACAAAGTTAATTTCCTTGAAAGGTGACAAACCAGCTTGAAAAAATTTTGGAACTCAAAATATTTGCTTCCTTGAAAAGTGACAAACCAGCTTGAAAAAATTTTGGAACTCAAAATATTTGCAAGTTAACAGATAGTAACAAATATGAGATTCAAGTGTAAAATTCAAACAAAAGCTTATCAAAGCAATATGCAGCATATACAAAGTTATGTACTAACTATATCAATTCAAGAACCCTAACTAATATGGATGATGATACAATTTTTGTAAGATTTCAATTTAAAAAAGGATTAGAAAATGTCCAAATCCACTAGGATTTCATGAGATTCAGGTACTTAGTCAAGAGACTCAATTTGGAACATTTCTTAATCACAAGATCAGGTGATATAAAATGTTGTACAGAATATTAGAGTGCCTGCAGAGATGACACCAAGTTAACTTTATGCAACTTATCACAGTTAAGGCAAAAATATTGAAAAAACTGTAGTCACTATTGAGTAAGGGTCAAGAGTTTCAAACTAGAGTGGTTTTGAGCCATAACCATCATGAGCAACACAGATGCAAATAGAAGTCAAAGGTGTCCCTCACAAGGTCACCGGTTGTAGGTTTCAGTTAATATTCCTCAAGATTTGTTCACGATTTTACCAGATTTGGGGTTTCAACCCGAATAAAAAATAAGAAACCTCAAATATTTGATTCAGAAAGTAATTTTGTAACCAAGAACGGCCACTAACGGCAAATTCTTTCAATATTTTAGATCTAGGGTTTCAAAAAATACCAAACCTAGAAAGATCAAAAGAAAACGAATTGTAAAAAATAATTTTCTTGTGTAAAAATTCAATCGAAAGTTCGATAAACCTTTCAGTTACTAGATCTTTCAAAAGAGACCTTGGGTTTTGGGGGAAAAAAATTTGTGATCTGAAGAGATTGACCAAACTAACTACGAAAATAATTTTAGATAATCAATCGACCATCGAAGGTCCAAGAACAGCCAACTCACACTTCGATACCACTAGTATACAAAAATATCATAATGAAGACCCAAATGTTATAAAATCGTCTACTTAACTTACATTCGGAACCAAATCACCAAAGGTACCAAGATATCATAGAATGGGATCATATTATTGTACCCTTCTGTATCACAGTGGCCACACAAATCTAAGCCCCAAAAGATAAGATTGAAATTGCTTTAATGGACTAGAAGATGTCAACTCAGATACCAAATACATTTTTCACTCACTGATTCACAAAAGACTCACCCAAGAATTCCCTCAAAATATTCAAGAAGACGTCCAATCAGAAGTTGAAGAGGAAGCAGGGAAGACAAACGGAAATGGAGAGAAAACCCTAGACTCTCTAAAGAATCAAACATTCGAAATCAAAATGAAAATCCTAAATTTATACCCTCTACAACCACCATTAATCTCATATCAAGATAAAAAATCCAAAGCAACTAACATCTAATCAATAACCAATGCAACTAAAGTTGCATTTGCATTTGGAAACATGTTAGGCCTTTTATATTTGGTTCGGATTTTGGGCTACTCATGAAATTATCACGCAATAGCATACTAATCCACTAGACCTTAAATGGCCCATTTATCATCATTGCCTTGAAGCTAATTGGACTGGACTTGGCATCACAACCTAACAGGCTATATATAGTGAAGATGTTTGTTCATGCATAGAACACTGGCTGTGGAATAATAAATTTAAACAGAACAACAAAGAAAGGCACAAGAAGATATAAAAAGATATATTTGTCTCTTGGTTAACAAATTTCGATTCAATTAATTGGCAAGATAGAGAGGGAAAAAAATGGAAAAAGGAAAAACATCAAGCCATTATGCTTTATTAATACATGGTGTAGGCTATGCCTTGACTCCCACACCTTATGCATTATTCGGGTGGCGAACCATGGTTAGAGATATATCAATAGATAAAAATTTTGAAGGGGCAAAAAAACAAATGCAGGACCTAAAAGTGTACATGAAGTGAGGAAAAAATACGAGTCTTGATAATTTAACAATAATTGAACAAGCAGGAAAAAGTTAATTAATTATAAGCGCCTCTGCCGTAGAATAGAACCATGACGTGATCTGCAGCTGAGGAGGTTTGAGGAAGCAAAGTCACAAAGTCTCTTTGACTCCATATGTGATCCCTTACATGCTGCAACGTTAAGAACGGTAGAAGCTCTTGCCCTTTACAAGTTATTTCTACCTGAAGAATAAGATAAATACAAACACGAACCAAATATTTCCATCAGTTAATTATTACCATTTTGAGTAAGATAAATAACATAAATATAGTATGTAACAATTTCAAGTACGACATAAACATGACACAAACAAATGACATTATGAGCAGTAACGTCACTCATAAGTTATAGTTAATAGGAGAAGTGCAATTAAGCTCTTTATCACTTACGATGAAGTCCGAGAATCCATTCCGTCCACTATTTGTTTAGACCTCACATCGAGAATCAATTACAAGATAGGTCAAACTTAATGTTTAATTGAGGCTCTGCATCATTCTCTCATTTTTAGGAGAATTGAAGATGAGACCACAAATTTGATACCAACTAATGCATGGTACACAACTAATTCTCTCAAAAGCTATAACTAGTATGAAAAATGCAATCAAGCCTTTTTATACCACACCCACAAATCCATTCAAAGTAGTCTTCAATTGTGGCTAGTCTCTTATGAGATTAATTCATCATGTTCAAGTGATGCTCCACTTCGTAAAATTAATCATATTCATAATTTCTTTGGATTTATGCATAGAAATCAACCTTAGAAAAAGTATAGTAAAATGCTTTACGTAAATCCACGTATGTGCATATACATATATGTTTATTTCAGCAACTAGTCATTTGAAAGAGACCTATGGAAGACGTCCACCCCAATGTAAACAGCTATCTACTTTCATTATATTAAAGGGACCCCATTAGACTTAACTCCTAAGCCAACATCATTATACCTTAGACATAATGTTACAATACTGTATATTAATTAATTTGTATGTACAAATATGATTAAATACAAAATAAAAGAAATTTCAACACACTAAAATATTTTCTTTATAATTTTCTACCTAACTTTTGTGTAGGTATACAGTATCTTCGCACTAACATCTTTCATGCACGTTCCTTTCTATCTTTAATTAGAAAACCCTAATTTGAAGGTTAATGAAATAAATATTAATCCTAACTAATTAAGGTTTATTATTATCTTAAACTGCAACATTAACAGATTAGTAATTAATATGTTGGTTTTCATTATCTAATGTAATTATGATTACATATAATATCTATCATGCATTGCTTTCCTCCAACGTAAGCATGGATTTTTTTTATTTTTATTGGATAGCGATTGTATTATTGTTCAATTAATTCTTTCATGATGTTAGACTAATCAAAAAAATCTATCCTTTCTTGTAATTATCATCATTTTTACTGCACTTCTTGTTTGATAGTTTTGTTGACATTCCATAATGTGACAAACAATCGACTATATATTTGAACGATAGTTATTTAAATCAATGATCAATTTTTTTACACATCATGAAATGTCAACAAAGATATACAAAATGAACGTACAAATAGATTAATTCAATTATTAATACTAAAGGAAAGAAATAATTATATCAACACAATATTTGAGTTATATATATATATCAAGTATCCAAGTGCACCACTTACGTTTTGATGGACCCATTAATGTTTAGAAATAAACAATAGTGTGAAAAGACAATAAAGGGCCTACATTGCTGATAAAGGGCTGAGTTAAAGCAAACGAAAGCATGACGAACGCATTCGCCAACCCATGCATATACACACACACATCACGAACGACTTATATTTAACCTCAAGTTAATTAATTAATTACTGGACGAAATAACCTTTTTACATCTTAAAGTCAATGTTGTATTTATATTATGATAAATTAGAAAGAGAAATGTACCTACCTACCTACCCTTTTTGCTTTTATTATTGCTCACAGATTGTGAGAATAACAATTATTAACAGATATGTGTTAGCCTATTGTAATATAACATTAATGTGCCGGAAAAAGATAATTATTCCTAACCTTGATTTGGTTTAAATTGTTTTCATATTTTAAAGTTTGATATTATTTTATTTCTACCAACTCGATTCAAGTAACTCGATCATGCATGCCATAAATTTCGAGACGACTTCAACAAATTAACAAAAAAGATGTTGACTTGAAGGAATAAATATTAATCAAGAATTAATGTTGAGTGTCATACATTCTAATTGAATAATTTATAATTATGTTCAATCCAATGTCATTTGAAGAGCGGCACCGGCATATATACAGATCACTTATCTATTTAATTAGTATTGTTGAATAAGTTATGTATAAATTCATTCTCTATCCTTACTTAATGGTATGAAATATGATTGGATTTAGATTAGAATTGTACGCATTCAAGTCATTGAATTGAAGAGTTGACCTCAATACTAAAATATATGAGCAAGATTAACATGCATGAAAAAAATAATTAAATGAAGATTAAACAGATTAATTAATGTCATCATATCCTAGCAAAGTGCCAACTTCCTAATAAAACTAGTTTCCTTTACTAAGGAATTAAAGAAGATAATTTGAAATATTATTGATTTGAACACCTATAAGAAGCGAAATAAAAGTTCAACTAAGTAATTCCAAAAAAATTGAAAAAGAGGATTTTAATTGTTACTCTTTCTATATAAGCATTCAATAAATTCTCTAAAATAGAACCTCAATCTAGTCGTACTAAGAAAAACAATCCTCACACACACCCGCACGAACACGATGTAATTATATCTATTGTAATATATGAAAGTACAATATGTCTTGACAATCATAGCACTTGACATTGGAAATTTACCTATTTTTCTAGTGGTCCTTGTAGCAATTGTTGATCTAATGTATAATGCTACTTGCATACACGGTTCTTTATCCATCATAGTGTGACGGATTTTAACCCTCGTTTAAGTACATAAAGAGACTCAACTCACAAACTATCAATGGTTTTTTCTGATAATCATGGTTCTTGACATTGGAAATATACCTCTTTTTTGTTATTATTATTTTTTCCCCTCCTAGTGGTCGTTGTAGCAATTGTTGATCTAATGTGTAATGATAATTGCATACACAGTTCTTTATCCATCATAGTGTAATAGATTTTAACACTCGTTTAAGTACATTAGGAGACTCAACTCACAAACCATTATATATACACACAAAACCTAAATGTTATACACACGAGGATTGACATCTATTTTTATGTAACTAAGATATTCTTCCCAAGATATATACCACGTGTATATTAAAATGTAAATGTTCTTTTGACCTGTTTTCCTCCTAAGTAGTACTTTAGTCCCCATTTGGAACGAATTTATACAATGTTAAATTTGAAAATCAGTTATAAATAATTTATAATTTTTTGCCAAACGGAAGCTTAGAATTTGAGTATTAATAGAACTCTATCCTAATGGCAGTTTGACTAAGAGAAACAAATATGTTAGCCAAAATTCATGGATCCCAGCTTTAACTCTATGAAAATATGATTACAGCAAAAGAAATAAAAAGAAATAAAAAGAAAGGTTAGTAAATTTAGAAAACGAAGATCATCATATCTGGCTAAGTATTGCACAAATTTTGAACTCCCTAAGGTTTATTTTATGTTCAAAGTTCTTTTGCACAAAATAGAGATCTTACTCTTCATACTTTAGTCCATTAACATGAAGAAAATTATCTAAATTTTCAATCCTTAATCAAAACCATTTATGGATAGAAAGAACCTTTGTAAGATTTAAGCTCATGATATATATGTGTGAAGAAAATGAATAAATTATCAATTTTTCCATCTCTAGATGATAATAAGTTCTGCTAGAATTAAAATAAGGATAAATTGGATTGCTGAGTATGCATGAGACTTGAATTCCACACAAAGCAACCAGACTCATTCTAAACTCTAAAGCACAAAGCTAACCTAGTTATTTTTTTGCTTAAAATGAACAATATATCTAATTAGTTGAACACTAATTATGCAGACAATCAACCTCCATTTTGAAAAAAATTAGTACATTCCCTAATCCAAAATTGATTTTATATTTGTTTTATAGTGAAAGATAATGAAAATAGCAAACATATATATATAATTTGGCTTTTGAATTATGTAAATTAATAAAATATGTGGACTATAGAAAATATTTATTTTCTAAAAACTAAATAATATGACTTGTTGGTATCTAGAAAGCCGTAGTAAATTGTGTAGCTGAAATGCAATAGCAGCATTTCTATATATCATAAGAATTAAGTGATGCTATAAAAACTGCCTAATCAAGGGAAAAAATGTATGGATGTAAAGAAAGTTGTCCAATTTGTTCTGTAGGAACGTAGAACAAATTCATGCTAGATAATATTTCTCAAGGCAATGAAATATTTTTCATGTACTATGGGCTAGATTAAGAATAATCAAAGTAAACTTTCACCTCCTTCCCCGTAAATTCTAATATCATCTGCGTTTCTCGTTAAACTGAACACTTACACTACCGTGAAAAATTGAAGAAATCCTTGCCATTGTATGGTTTTGAGATCGAATAATTTTACTCTCATCTTGAGTAAGCACTAATGAATTCAAATTGTTTTTTCAGTTGAAGAATTACTGATGTTTTACTTGATTACAAGGAAAGGAGAAAGGTTCTTTTCTTTTGCTCGTATTTCCAGCAAATATGAACTGATAAATTCACGGATTAACTCCAGTTTCCTATGGAACCATCACTTTCTCAAAAAGAAATGGAATGAGTAAACAGGATAGCCATTTACTTTGGTTCGGGGTTCTAATATTTCTTGTTTATCATCAGTCCGACCCTAAAATGACATTCACAATAATATAATTAATAAAGCATATTCCAAAATTTGGAAGACCTTATTTTTGTAAAATACAATTATATAGCAACAGCTTAAGCTATAATGATACAAAAAGAAAAGAGAGCTACCTATAAATATACGTCGTACCAACCATGATGTTATCTAAGATGTATTAAAATATCACTAATGGAAGCATTTACAGTTCTGCTGTTTCTATCATTTGTTTCTTAAACAACTTCATGTCTTGGAGAATGTTATTTATGTCGAAAGTCATATTACCATATAATAAAATCAGTACAACTGACAACTTATATACTCATAAACAATTTCTGATCGCAAAATTCATTGTAATAAGAAGAAAAAGAAAAGATGGAATGTGAGGCGTACCTCTGATTCATTTTCCAGCCTAAGCTTATTCACCAGATATTTTTTGACCAATCGAATTGTCATCCTTCCATCTCTAAAGAATATTAATGATTTTTAGACTGAGCGACGAAAAAGAAGAACAAAAGACATGAAAATAAAAAGGAATCGAAGAAAGTAACTTACTTGATTCTCAAGTAGCTCTTGGGTATCTGAGGCAAAAACGGTTCTTTTGCTCTGCAATGCAAAATAAAGGTCCATTAAATATGATGATGTCGTAAGAGAAAAAAAACTTCAAGGTAGGGACAAAAAAACACAGAAAGGAAAATAGTGCTGCTGCAAAGCAAATGTTGATGATTAATTTGATTTCCCAGCTTAATTTATGCACTTACTGATTTTGTGATGCTTGTAGTGCAAACCATATGCCGGATTGTGGTCTCCGAGGTGATTGAATGACTCTAAAATCTAGACTTGGCCCGGGGATATCTATTCCGGGATGGACTTGAAATTGCCGGGGAAAATAAGAATCAGGCGCCATTAAAGAAGGTGAAGAAGTATAAGGAGGCGTTATGTTAATTGGGATGGGTCTATATGCCCAGTTAATCTCTTGATGATAAGGGAAAGTTGAACTAGTTCCCGGGTGTTGCAAGAAAAATAAGGTTCCATGATCGGTGGATGTTGAGAAATTCATAGCAGGCCGAGGAGCTGCAAATTCTGATACGTTAAGAATAGGGGCCGCTAACGGCCTGATTTGTGAAGCACTACCACTAGTATTTGGAAGAAGCTCGAGCTCGACCGGTCGAGGGACGCCTATTAGAGAGCTTTGATCTGCTTGATCTTTCTTCTTTTCACGACCTGTGTTACCACCAATACTCAATTGAAGCCACTCTTCATCTTTCTCTTGTTGAACATCTTTTGAACTTGATCCAGCTTCATTAATACTCCCTTCTGCCATTAATGGGCCAACTAATCGATTAGATCCTAAACAAGCTTCACTACAAGAATAATAACCTTGTACTTGACTACTCATAACACCAAAACCCTCCGAATAGCCACCACAAAACTGGTGTTTGTATATATTTTCTGCAGAAAACATGGTCATATCGAAAACCCCAAAAACCCAAAGCGCCAGTTCCACTGAGTTTTAACCCTTTCAAACTGATCTTGGATCCCAAGGCAAGCCATGAATTGGAAATTCTTCAATTTTCAAATCATTAGAAAGATCTGTTGAGGCCATGAACATGATTGAGATTCAATTAGGACATAGATTCCCATTGGACAGATAAGAATTAACAATAAACAAGAAAATGAAACTTGCAAATCTCACTTTGTATAAATTCTCTTGGTTTGGCAGTTTGTGAGGGGATGGAATAGCTGCAAGGGGGTAGATAGATGGTGGCGAGTCAGTTATATAAAAAATATATATATTTATTTATTTATTCTCTCAATTACTAAGGTCATTTTCTCTTTAATATTGACTTTAATAATAAGATAGAGTACAAGTTCTAGTTGTTTTCTAATGAAGGTTTTTCCAGCTAACAACTTTTGGCCATTCTTTCAAGAAACTATATTACAATGAAAGTTACTCTTTTTCTGATATCATAAAAGGTCCTTTTTAGCTTCCTATAAGAGCATTTTATACTAGGGTTTGGGGTATTTCTATTCTTAATTTTACATTTTTTAGGTTTTTCTGTGCTGTTTGCATTTAAAACTAATTAAAATAGCTGAGACATGATTAATTACGTGTCAAAGGAAAAACACTAAACTTCGATGGTCCTCATATCCTATATTGTCCGAGCTCAATTTGACCATTATTTTTTCAAGCATGTCATTCTAATGGCAAGGCGTTTTTCTCTCGAATCAACACCACGGCATCCTCCAACAAGTCGTCTACATGATGCATAACCAAGTGTTTAACATTGAAACCATTCTTCTCATCTCTTTCGTAATTCTCTCAAACTTATCTTATCAAACGATTTGTTCAATAGAGGTTTTACATCCCTCAAAAATACATAATCGAACTCTAAGACAAATTAGTTGAATTTTTATCGATATTTTTTTCCCTCTTTGACCACCTTTCCACGCAATATGGTGCTCTCTCTTCAATTTATTTTGCCTTCCAAATTCCAACTCTTTCCATGTCAAGCACTTACATTGATTGAAAGACACGTGTCATTAGTTCAACACATCAAGAGCTTTGACCTACAAACATATTTATAAACAAATTTCCCGAATTTGTTTAATTTGCTTAGCATCTTCCTAGGAATACTTCCTCAATCATCTTAATTGCATTTCTAAATATATAACAAATAATTACATAACGCGCCCCCGGGGCATAGTCCAATGGTGCAAATGATAGAAGTAAGGTTATTTCACACCTTGCTGACAGTCGTAATGTTGGGATTCGATTCTTGAGACATGAAATTGGATTCCTTGTAGGTGCAGTGTACATGCAGCTCTTGTTCCCTGACTTGATGGGGCATATCCCGCGATTTACCTCCCTCACAAAACTTTAGGGGCGGGGTGGTGGAGACCCTCAAGATTGGGGTTCAACCTTTTTTTAATAATTACATAACGCAACACAACTCCACAAAAGACGTACGAAAAGAGATAGATACAGCCCAAATTAATGAATGCCAGGGCATAAATAATTGCAAAAATACCTATGCATATGGCTACATGGCACTATAGAATGTTTATTTAATTAAGTTAAAAAATCACAAATAGATCAATTAACGTTAAATAAATAAACGGCATTGGCATGCATGACTGTGTTTCCCAAAAACCCAAGAAACAGAATAGATGAATAAGACTTGGTCGTGTAAAAACATTCCGTTGAACAGAACAGGCATGTGCCCCTGCACTACACTGTCAACTGTCAAATATTCCTATTCAATCAAAATATTCTTAATTGGGTTCAACACTAACAATATTTTAGTTAATTTTAAGGTTAATAATTTTCTCAAGATATAGACATATTCTATAGGATTATGCAACGTGCACATAAAAATAGAACATAAGGAATTACATAAAATGATGTGAAGCGAACAGATTGAATGAAAAAATTGACTGTATTTTAAATAGAACAATAATAAAATTACATGTGATATTATGTAATCCATTATATAAAACTTACATTCATGTATCAAGGTCTTATTTTATATGGGAACTGGGAAAGCATGCCATGTCTTTGCTGCCTCTCCTGAAAAGCTGATCATTGCACCTTTTTCCAGCTACCCATTCAAAGTGCTCTCTCCCTGCCTCTTTTGTGTGTGTGTGTGAGAGAGAGAGAGGGCTTTCAGCTAGGTACTTTCCTAATCAACAAAATTTGTGATTTTACTTTATTTATTTATTTATTCATTCATTTTTGTGTTTTGTATAGTAATAACATATATTTAGAAGATTTGAGTCATTTCTACTGTCGAACCAATTGACGTGATCAATAAATTGGATCTTAGATATAAAAAAATTGTATTTACAATGAGTTTGTGACTTTCATTTGATTGACTTCAAAGCCAAAGCAATATTTGTGTTTGCATGATTAGAGTTCTTTGAGATTAGATATATGCAATATGGACCTAATATTATAACATCATAGAGAGTTTGGTTAAGCTAAAGCTTAATCTTTTTTCCTTGTTTACATGGTATCTTCATATTTGAAGGAATTTTCCCTTAGATTTTCTAATTATCTTATATTAACTAATCCGATGATGTTATTTTTGGTAGGGCCTTTTTGCATCACTATGCCCTTGTATACTTACTCAAAACAACCTTATGAGACATCCAATTAGAGATGTACGTTAACAATAAAGATCATCAATCCACCACAATCAAGGGGCCAAGAGAAAATAACCACAACCAGCCAAAGCAACATGCTTTATGATTGCCATTACATAAAGGAGCAAGCAAAGTTGAAGAATTGAAACCACGTAATCATAATGCATGGGATGCTTTTGAAATGACAAGATAGTTCATCATCAAATTTCATGCATCCCAGCTGACTTTGGGATTTCAGTTCAACTCACTTAATTGATTAAACATGTTACAAATTTACAAACGTGGAGTGCAGGAGAAAGTGGTTCAACTTTAAATGTATTTGTATGGAGTAGAGGGCAAGTGAAGAATATAAAAAAATAGTGATGCTGCTTTAGTGTGTCATGATGACATCATGAGTACTCCCCATCATAACTCATCCACTTTTTACATCAAATGAAAAAAAAAGTGACATCCTAACAATTCCCTTTCTATGTATTCATAATTTTCCGCTTTCTTTTTTCTTTTCTTTTCTTGATTAATTGTTTTCCTTATATGTGCAAGTGATGGTAAGATTGCTTTGGATTGAATACCAAGTCTTTTCTGCCCCATGCACCCTTTGTTTCACTACTTTGTAGGCCATTTAATTAATAACTCTCAAATCCATGTATGTCGATTTGGATTTGACATGATATATATTTCTCTAATTATGTCTTGTTCATTTATAATAATTAAAGAGAGGAAATTATATGTGATGTTAACCACCAAAGGTAGTCGTAGAAGTAATCAACATGATCTTGTCTCACAAGCTCGACTTGCCAGCTTCAAATATCTGAAAAAAGGCATCGAAAGGTCTCTATTCATGGTATATGCTTATGTTAGCAGCCATGAAGAGGCATAATGGTGATATTAAAGCTTACATGAGAATTACGTACATTGTGGAATTAAAGGAAGATATAACTAAGATCTTAGATGTCACAGCCCCACTCATATCGATAATTATACATTAACCTGTGCAGGAATGAAATTGATGGCTCGACCTAAATATAGAATTTCACATATACTTTTTTTTCATTTGATAAAATGAAATAAGTATCTTCACAATTACATCTCCATTTGTTAACTCCTGATAACCTGTGACATTATATGGTATAATGAAACCAAAGATCATATAACCAAAATCCAACGTATATGTTTTGAGGTTATAATGTTTTGAGATTATAAACGTATCTACAGGCCATTTCAAATGGGGTATACAATAGAGGATCCCCAAAATATAACACAATATATTGCAAGTTCAAAACAACAGTCCACAAAATAACCCTACAGGTCGTCATCCATATACATCGAACTTTGAAATCTTGTAATAGCTCTACAGCTAGTTGTACTTTCTATGTAGTTCCATGGTCACCTACAATGCAAGAACTACATAAGTCAATGCTTAGTAAGCAAAAATTATGCATATCATGAGTATGAATAATAATGATAAATGACATCATGTCATTTACTTTAAATGTCACTCTAAAGATACATCATATTCTATTATTCATCAAAGTTAACTCAAAATCATTTTATTTGAAATCTTTCATTTCATTGGGCCTTTGACTCACGTACTATGAACGGATAGAGCTTTGCATAATATCAATATCAATATCAATAATCAAATGGCCAATATGAAATCGACACTGACGAGTGGACTATCTTCTCATGACCACTAAAGGCTCATCCCCTAACTACCTCTATGATCCCCCCAAGAAGTATCCCACCTAGCAGTGCCAATAATCATAATATCACAAAGGCACAATCGAGTGATCCACCCTTCCATGATCACCGAAGGCCCATCCCTTGTCTACCTTTACAATCACCCAAGAAGTATCACCTGCAATGCCAAAATATATCATATAAGCATGCCTCACATGCCTCAGTACCCTAATAGTGATTAATAAAACATTTATAAGGAAACCTCAATTTGAAATCATATTTCATATGCAAGATTTTTAACCATGATCACATGTCGTGCAAGCAGATAAAAATGCTCATGAATGACATATTTAATAAATATCGATGTCAATAGATTCCGCAACCTCATACTCAACAATCATAACCATCGTATAATGTGCAATAAGCCTCTTATCAAACTTATATAAATATTCCAACATAACCATATCACAAATATTAGGTTCTTGCATCTTGGAAATGGATTTTTACTTATCTTTCGCCTTTTTGTGTGCAAGTTCCTACGAAGTGTATATCCATTTCCTTTTTCCCTCAACGTCGAAAAATCACATGTATTACCATATAATATTAAAGACAATCCTCCATTTAATAACCTTAACACTCAAAATCCAAAAACACGTCCATTCACGCCAAAACAATTTAGACGAAGTTATAATTTTAAGTTACCGAGTCATTACATACTAGCCCCATAAATCTCGCTATTTCTCGAGTCCAATTATGAACGTCAACATCATCCAATTGTTGTCAACAACCTAGTACCCCTTAGAATCTATTTTCTAGGTCCAAGAGATGATTAATGGACATGTAAAGGTTGAAACTACATCAAATATGTAAATGGATAGAATCTGTTTTTCAGTTTTCCATCACCATCC